CGTGGCCGCCCCGCCGCGCTCGCCCATCGCCATCCCCCGGCCCGGCAAGAAATTCGGCTTCACCCTCCGCGCCATCCGCGTCTACCTGGGCGACAGCGACGTGTACAGCGTGCACCACGTCGTCTGGGTCAGGGACACCGGGAAACACCGGGGGACACCGGGGGACACCGGGGGGACACCGGGGGGAACACGGGAACAGCGAATTTTTGGATTTTTGGGGCGGGGCGCCGTGGTCCGCAATGGGGACGGAGGGGGGGGACGTGGGTGGGTTTGGGGACAAGGGGGGACAGGGTTTGCGTTGGGGGTGGCAGCGCCCGGTGTCATTTGGGCCAGGGGACACCGCGGGACACCGGGCGATGCGCGGGGGACAGGTGGGGAACCCCGATTTGGGGAACGCGGTGTAGGGAGGGGGGTCCGGGGTGTCACATCCGCGGTGCGCCGTGGGTGACCCGGTTTTTGGGGGGCAGCACGTGGAGGAGGGCGGCCCCGCGCAGGAGGCCGGGCTGTGCGCCGGGGACCTGATCACGCACGTTAACGGGGAGCCGGTGCACGGGCTGGTGCACACCGAGGTGGTGGAGCTCATCCTCAAGGTGGGGGCACCGGGGGTCTCGGGGGGGTGCGGGGAGGTCACAGCGGGCTCAGGGGTCACCAAGGGATCATGGTGGTGGTCTGGGGGGGGTCACGGGGGTCAGATCTTTGGGGGGTCGTGGGTCACGGCAGGGTCATGGCAGGCCAGCCAGGACCAGGGGGTGAGTCCCGGTGTGTGTGGGGGGGTGGGGTGGGTGTCGTGGGTGGCGGCCGTGACGCGCTGTCGCTCAGAGCGGGACGAAGGTGCTGGTGACAACGACGCCGCTGGAGAACACCTCGATCCGCCTGGGCCCCGCGCGGCGCCGCAGCGCCCGCGCCAAGATGGCCCGGAGGAACCGCCGTGGGGGCACCGGGAGCGGCCACGAGAGGTGGGCACGGCGGGCACCGGGCGGGCACCGGGGGGCACCGGCGGGCGCGGGATGTGACGGTCCTCCCGGCCGCCAGGCGGCGCAGCGCGCTGTTCCGGCACCTCGCCCGCCAGGCCTCGCTGCTGCACACGAGCCGCTCGCTGACGTCACTGAGCCGCTCGCTCTCCTCCTCCGACTCGCTGCCCGCCTCCCCCACGCACGCGCGGGCGCGCGACCCCGGTAAGGGGCG